ACAGGGTTTCTCTGTATAGCCCTGGCTGTCCTGGAACTCACTCTGTAGACCAGGCTGGCCTCAAACTCAGAAATCCACCTGCCTCTGCCTCCCAAGTGCTGGGATTAAAGGCATGCGCCACCACCGCCCGTTTCCTTCCTTCCTTCCTTCCTTCCTTCCTTCCTTCCTTCCTTCCTTCCTTCCTTCCTTCCTTCCTTCCTTCCTTCCTTTCTTTCTTTCTTTTGGTTTTTCGAGACAGAGTTTCTCTGTGTAGCCCTGGCTGTCCTGGAACTCACTCGTAGACCAGGCTGGCCTCGAACTCAGAAATCCGCCTGCCTCTGCCTCCCAAAGTGCTGGGATTAAGGGTGTGCGCCACCACTGCCTGGCATCATTAGTCTTTCAAATAAGTCCTGTACTAGGACTTAGTGACTGCCTAGAAAATTCCAAGATATATTTTTAAATTTACAGTGACAACAGCAGCAATAGCAGTAAGTAATGTTAAACATTTAAAGTTGACCTCTTAATAAGTACTCAACTGTAACAACTACACAGTGAGACGCAGGATCCAGCAGGAGCTATGGAGGCTGAGACATCTCTGCTCCTGCACTCTCTCTCCTGGCTTTGTATCTTTTCTGGTTCTATGACAGATGTCATCATAAGTCTGTAGTAGGACTCTGGCATGCAACTCCTCCAGCTTTGATCTCCTGAGAAACCCTTCAAAGGTCTGAGCTGACTAAAAGCTACACCCAAAACAAAACCAAACAAAACAAAACAAGACGAAACAAATCGAGTGTTACTGTGAAATGAGATTTCTAGGATGCCTGTTTGGAATGGCCAGCATGCTTGCCCTCCAGTTAGCCAGTGGAAGAGACTCATTTATTGCAGAATCCCAACTGATTTTCTCTTTCTCCTTGCCTGATGTCACGTGGGTCGTGAGTGATCAGTGCTCACATTTCTACCTCAGTCTTTTGTGTGAGACCAAGGCAGAAAGGAAGCGCATGATTTCTGCCCTTCCCCAGACTGACAAACTAGCTAACCCTGTAGATTTATCCTGAAGCGATGAAAACTAGGTACCTCTCAGGAAGCAGCTGGTTTGCTGGGGCACAGCTCTCGGCACGTCAGCTTTTTATACTTGATTTTGGTGTGGAACATTGTGGTGGCTGCTGTCTTGTAGCATCCACATCCACTGCAGGAGAAAGGCTCTTTCATCTAAACTGTAGGGTGTATCCCAGACCTCTGATCCTCCTGTTAGCTAGAGATTGGACTTGCACAGGGTTGCCTGCTCCTGGGGATGACCTGTTTACATATCAGAATCCACACAGATGAGGAAAGCAAGGGATTCAAGATGAGATTTAAAACCTCTATGATTAAGGAATTCGGGACATTCACAAACAGACCAGCCAGATGAAACTCTTGACAATAGCCAGCACTGTACAAGAGGATACTGAGAGCATCCACAGCTGGCCTGATGTTGGGATCCAAGAGTCAGGTTGCCTGTTGAGAGTCTTGGGTGATCTAGGGCTCCAGATTCCATTTGTAAAATAAGGATAAAAGAATTACTGGAACATTCGCTCAGAATGTCTCTGTCCACGAAGCTCCTACTTGGAAAAGAAACTTCTACTAAACCGAATTGAAACAACAAGGCCGGTGGTATCACAGCTGTTAGAACTAGTGCAAACCGTGGTAGAAATTCAGAGGCAGACAGTTTCCTTGGTTTCTAGCTTATGAAGATAGTTTGAGTGTAGGTCTGTAGAATTATATGTATTGCTTTGATTCATAAAAATAAAAAAAAGGTATTCTGTCAGATTTTGTTGGCCGTTTTATTGTTCCTAAATAAAGATGTCAGAGCTCCATCCTCTAGGACACCACTGTAGAGCAAGATTATAATTCAACAACAATAGAACGTTCTCCAGTGACTGCATTACAAAGGAATAAAATGAAATACATAAATTAATTTTGACAGTACACTTTATTTGAGCTAGATGATTTATTATTTGTAATTACAGATACAATGACTACACAAAATCCTTTAAAAAACCATTGCTGAATCTTTTACTCTATATTTTGTTCTGTGTCTAAGGAATCAGGTGCATTTTACAGGTGTCACATGTGTCTGGTGCCTGCTATATGGGGAGCCGAGCTTCAGAAGTTTGCTGGAGTTTTTTTTTTTTTAATCCCTCTATGCTTGTTTGGGATTTTTTTTTTTCATATTAGTTATCTTTGCGTTCAGGCTGGCCTCAGACTTGTGATCCTCCTGCATCAGCCCTCTGAGTACTGGAATCTCGGTGTGCTCTACCATGCTGGGGTGAGCTTTGCCAGTTCATCTTGTTTGTTTCCAAGATTTCCCAATTATCTATTGCTGGGAACAAGCCACTCCAAAGTTTAGTAGCTTAACATAAAGTGGTGACTGTTTCTCACTGGTCTCCATTGGCTTGCACATACAAGGCTCACGACCACCAGTTAAAGTCCCAGAGCCCCAAGGTTTCATCAGTACTCTCTGTCTGCCACTTTTCTTTGCTCTCAATTCATCATTCATTTAATTACATATATGTGGTAGCATGACCTCATCAGATTTTGTTTTGTTTGGTAGATTATGATCCATTATTTATTGAGTGTTTAAGTTGTTTGGTCACACTACTTCCTTCATGATATATTTGATGATTTATTTGTGTCTCCATGTTCGTATGTGGACAGGGGTATGTCCCTGCATGTGGAGTCTGGAGTTCAATGCCAACTGTCTTCCTCAGTCACTGTCCACTTTATTTTTTTTGAAACAGGGTCATTATATATATAATTCTGCAGAATATAATCATTTCCTCCTTCCCCTTCCTCCCACCAGCCTTTCCCACGCACCCCTTTTGTTCTGTCTCAAATTCATGGATTCTGTGTGATTGTCTTTTATGTTTTAACTTTCTGCCCTCTCATGTCCTCTTAGTGTATCCATTCTCCAGCCACAGTCATAGTTAACTGACTCCTCTGTGAAGTTGTGTATACTAATCTGCTCCTAAGTGTTTGCCTGGAGGGACTGCTTCCTCATTCCCAAGCGTGTATAGAGAATGTCTGATAGTGTATTTCTGCTTCTCAAAGAAGCCAGTCAACAACTTTAAAAAAAAAAGCCTGTGAAGGAAGTTGTATTTATATATCTCTGAAAGTATTTTTTTTTAACCAAGTATAGTTTCTGATATAGTCTTTCAGTTTCACTTAAATTTAGTATAGAATATATAAAGATCCCATGAGAATTGAATGCTTAATAAACATAGACTGTTCCTGTACAACTGTGTTTATACCCAGCTATGACATCAGCATGTCAAAGAGACACCTGTATTCTCCTGTTATTGGATCACCACTCATAAGAGCTGAGGTGGTAACAACCTAAGTGTCCGTTAACAGATAAATGGGTAAGGAAACATACCGTGTATATTCACAGTGGAATACTGTTTGACTCAGAGAACGGCAACACTGTCATTTGCAACAACATGGGTGAATCTGAGGACATGGTATGTATGATTTCACTATATGTAATTTTAAAAAGTGAAGAAAAGGAGACTAAATGCTGGTTATCCAGCTAGGGGTTTCCAAAGAGATGTTGGTCAATGAATAAAAAATTCTAGTTAGAGAAGAGAAATAAGTGCCAGTGTACATCATGGGTACAATTCCTAGAGCGGTTTTATGTACTTGAGAATTGCCAATAGGGTAAAAGGTAGTTGTTCTAATAGCAAATATGAATATCTGTGAGCCGGTGCATCTCAAGTTAGCCACCCCACAGGTTATACGTGTTTCAAAACATCATACTGTACGTCATAAATGTATTTAAGTTTTCCCCTGTTAAATAAGATAATAAGGAACATAAAAAAATATTAGATTAGACCCAACTCACAATTGCTCTCTCCCAGCTCAGCTCAGCTCAGCTCAGCCAGCTCTGGCTTTGGTAGGGTCACAGTGTCCTGTTCTGCTGTGCATTCTCTTCTCTGGTTCTTCTCCTTCCTCCCACGGTATGTGTTGAACCATTGGTCCTATTTTTAGAAAGTGTACATGAAAAATAGTCTGATCCTTGTGAATCACTGCTGAGCCCTGGCTCGCCCTGGGATGACTAAAGCCTTCCTTTATCATGAGTGTCTGAGAATATCAAGAGTGAGCCTCACCGGGGACAGAGCTCAGTGCAGAGCACATGCTAGATGCCATGAAGCCCTGGGCTCAATCTCCTGTACCACAACCCCCAGGGACCAGAACAGAACCAGAACAACACCCCCTCCTCACGCTCCAATCCCCAGGTTCTCCCATCCTCTCTGAAGCACCCCTCAAACCTGGGAACCTTAACAGCTGCAAGAGCAGCGCTGGTGCAATTGGCAGAACTTGCTGGGATTTGATTCCTGGCTGATCTTCTCCACAAGTATGGGCTACAATCTTTTGGTTATTTTGGGTATAAATAAAGCTGTTTTGGTTTGATCAAGGAAGTTGATGGTTCTATCCATAGTGAAAGAATGTTAAATCTTGACAAACACCTTTCCTTTCTTGTTTTCCTTTTAGGCCATTTCGGAACTCTTACTCTTCCGGCAGTAAGTATCCATTTAAATTATTTGGCTTCAGTAAATAAATAAATGCCAAAAATTGGCTTCAGAAATACATTGCAAGCTGGGTGTAGTGGTGTACATCTTTAATCCCAACACTTGGGAAGCAGAGGCAGGAAGATTTCTGAGTTCCAGGCCAGCTAGAGCTACACAGAGAAAATCCTGTTTCCAAAAAACCAACAACCACCTCTTACTCTCTTTTGCCTCTAGCTTCTCTCTGTCCCCTTGCCCTTCCCCCCTTCCCTTCCCCCTCTCTCCACATGGTCATGGCCGGCCTCCACTTCTCTCTCTCTCCTCTTTCTCCACCATCTTCTTCTGTTTCTCTTCCTACTTTTGCCCTCTGGCCTGAATAAATTCCCCCTGGTGGAACTGTCTGGTCTGCTGTGGTCTGTTCCAACCTGCACGACGAAGTCTAACAGCAGCAGCTGTAGAGTGGATCAACCTGAGCTTAGAGTGCTACAGAGGGCAGAGCTGGAGAAGTGACGCCAGCCCTTTGGAGAAAGCCAGAAGATCATGTGTGGATCCCAGACATTGAAACAAGAAGCTGTAACATTGAAGTTGCCTTAGAGACCCCAAGATAATGCCAGAGCCGTGAGATATCTGCTGTGGAAAGCTGCTAATGGAGTGGAATCAGCCCAGGAGAAAGAACTTTACTTGTGTTAACAAAGATGAAAAGGAGTGAAGATCTGAAGACTGCTTTGACATCAGCCATGGAGATGCAGAGTTTGGAGTTTGCCCAGCTGGTTTCCTGTCTCACTTTGGGGATTACAGTTAAGTGATTGGATGAATCTCAGAAGAGATTTTGAACTTTGGACTTTTAACATTGTTGAGACTGCTCTAGACTATGGGGGCTTTGGAAGTTGGACTAAATGTATTTGCATTATATTATGTTTAGGTATGGCTGCCATCGTTTTTGAATAAGCCTATGGGGGCCAGGGAGTGGAATGTGATGGTTTGTATATTCTTGGCCCAGGGAGTGTCACTATTTGGAAGTGTGGTCTTGTTGAAGTAGGAGTGTCACTGTGGGTGTGGGCTTTAAGACTCTACTCCTAGCTGTCTGGAATTGAGTCTTCAGATGAAGATGTAGAAGTCTCAGCTTCTCTTGCACCATGCCTGCCTGGATGCTGTCATGCTCTTGACTTGACGATAATAGACTGAACTTCTGAACCTGTAAGCCAGCTCCAGTTAAATGTTGTCCTTATAAAAACAAAACAAAACAAAACAAAACAAAACAAAACAAAGCAACCAACAACCAAACAGACAAAACCATACCAAACCAAAAAAAAAAAATCTCAAAACAATAACAAAAGAAATATATTGTAACTATGGCATATGTATCTTTTTATTGGCTCTTAATTTACATCACTTGTAAATTTTACTTGAATGTACTATACTTTTCAAATATTTAAGAACAACATTACTTCAGAGAGATTAGCTATTATGTTCTCTAAACTCCTAGCAGGGACTTTTCTTCAATAAAATGGAACATTAGATCACTTTATTGTGCTTGGCTCTACTCCTGCATTAAGTTTTCTCTTCTCTTCTCTTCTCTTCTCTTCTCTTCTCTTCTCTTCTCTTCTCTTCTCTTCTCTTCTCTTCTTCTTTTCTTTTTTCTTTCTCCCTTCCTTTCCCTTCCCCTTCCCCTTCCCCTTTCCCTCCCTCCCTTCCTCCCTCCCTCTCTCCCTCCCCTCTTTCTTTCTTTCTTTCTTTCTTTCTTTCTTTCTTTCTTTCTCTCTTTCTTTCTTTCTTTCTTTCTTTCTTTCTTTCTTTCAGACAAGGCCTCACTATGTAGCCATGTGTCTCTGGCTGGCCATGAATTTATGAAGATTTTCCTGCTTCTATCTCCTTAGTGCTGGGATTAAAGGCATACACCACCAACCACACCCAGTGAGTCTTTAGTTAACATTTTAAAATTACACATAATAGTTTTCATGTTAAATGTTCACATGTGTTTCAGTTTTTTGTTTTTAAATGTATTTCATGATTTTTCATATATGTATGTAATCTATTTTGATCATCCTCCTTTCATTACCCTCTCTTGTTCCCCCGTCTCTGCTGATCCCTTCCCTGTTCTCAACTAGTTTTCTTTTTATTTCCGAGTCTTATTTTGGTAACCCAATGCAGACTCTTTTTTGAAGGGAGATAGATCAGAGACTTTCTGGACATATTTAAAATCACTACATCATGTTGCTTCTAGATTAATATAGCACATGTTAAACTTGGATATGGGCTAGTGACCTGAGTGCTGTCCCTAACGCTCTAAACTGAGTTTTGTTGTGAAATGGTTTTAGCAGGAGAATCTGGTCAAGGGTGGGTATGGCATTGGGTTGAAGGATTGATTATCTCGAGGTCAAATAACAGAACATGTGAACTGCTCAATTTGGCTTGTGATCTGTTCATACCAGATGGTAGGATTTCTGTTGTTATTAGTAGTATTAAAAATGGTGGCATGGCCACCAGTCACATGCTGAACAAGGTATAGGAAAAGAAAGCATGACAGATGAGATGAGAGAATACAGCAAGGAGACAAACACTGGTGTTTCACAGGCTGATTCTCTCAAACAGTGAAATCGTGGAAAAGCTTACAGGTCGGGAATGGGGTGGGGTGGGGGAGGGAGTGGGATGAGCTTTCCAAGCTTAACAGCTGTGAGTGAGAACAAACCTGCACATAGAAAAGGAAATGGGGGAAGGGGGAAGGAGAGGACATTTAAAATGTAAACAAATGAAATAATTAATTAAAAAAAAAGAAAAAAAAAAAAGGGGACATAACTCCTGCTGAGAGAGACAGCTGTGGAGATGTGTCCCTCACTCCAGAATCTCTCTGATCTAATTGAAGAGCAGAGTAAAGAATTTTAAAGACAAGAAAGCAAAGTGTTCAGCTTTGGTGCCTATGAAGAATAAGTTTTCCCCAACACTACAGTTCTTTATGATAATACTATGCGTTTAATCTTTTTATTCTAATTTGTCATTAAAACTTTTTTAAATGTAAAATGGTGAGACTTTGATATGTCTGATCTTTCCCCATCCAGCTACCTCTGCACAGTTCAAATAAGATTTATGAACTACACATAATGGGAAAAACGGAGGAAAAGATCTTATTCTCCAACAGGACACGTTTAACATTTGAGAGCAAGAGGATGTCTGTCCTCATCCAAACAGACAAGGCCTTTTACAAGCCAAAACAGGAAGTGAAGTTTCGAGTGCTCACACTCTTCTCAGATCTCAAGCCTTATAAGACGTTGGTGGACATTTTCATTAAGGTGAGTTATGGTAGGCTGGTGTGAAGTGGGGACTTCAAGCCATCCCAATAAAGCTGCCTCAAGAGTTCTGCTCAGGGTAGTGACACAGTAACGTTGAGTTTCACCTCTCAACATGGAGTGGTAGGGGTAGTCATAAATCCCCTTTGATCCTGGACTGTAAGGTCAGGACATGGTCTCACGTCTAGCCACACTCCTCACTGCAGAGACCAGGTAGGAGGCTGTGGATGTCTGCTTTAATGTTCTCCAGCTGAAAATAGTGATTTGGGACAGGATGGGTTGGCTGAAGTGGAGAAGGACATGTAATCTAGCCTGCATGCCGACTCACCAATAATGGCTGGGACTAAGATGCCAATACTTGAAGATGCCATCCCTAGGGTCAGATATTTATCATAGTGTCATATTGAGGGGTATCCTGTGTGTCTGTGAGGAGCATTGTCTATTATCTGTCCATCTTTACTGTTTCAGTAACTCACCTAAGGAAGGACAGGGGCTTCAGAGGCCTTTCAGCAGTGGAGATAGCATGCCCTATCTTGCCCTGTATTCTCTCCTACAGACAGGTTAGCATTACAGTGTAGAAGTAAGTGGCTTTGACATTGTGGTGGCAACTGGCACAACTGGCTTCTGCCCTGGGCCTTCTGCTTCAAATTTTTTGCTCTGGGTACAGGTGAATAACCTTGTGTGGATATAGCTGTTTCTGACATGGAGGGTATATTCTGTTTGAGTACAGGTAACTGTGTGTGTATTCAGCTATTTATGACTTGGAGGGTGTGTCCAGTGACTCTGCTCTGGCCCTCTGGCCCTCGAGCCCCAAGAACATCTTAAGTGGAAGTGTCAGTTTGGCTTAAAGGGCCATGACATCATCTAGGAGAAAACTCAGGGTCCGTAACTCATCAGCAGCATTTGTGTGTGTGTGTGTGTGTTTGTAGGTGTGTGTGTTCCTTTTCCCCTAGGCAACACTGAGAATTACTGTATTAGTGTTTCTTAAATCTTTGTCCATTGGATAGGAGAACCCCAGCATTTCATTGATTTCACTTCCTAAACCTCGAGACAGCATGTTTGTAGCTAATTATATTTCTTCCTGAACCCTTGCATCACACTGTGGCAGGTACAACAGAGCCAACTGCTGGTCACAGTGCATGACCCAGGAGTTCACCCAGGAGACAGTGATCTGCCCATTCTTGACCTGCTTCCCATCACTGATTCGAAGTCTCTGGTTGCCACTACTCAGTTCTCAGAACCGTATTTACCTCCAATGGGCTTCTCTAACACCTGTCATATTCCTTCTCTAGGAGAATTTGTTTTTCTAGCTTCTAATAACTAGGTTGGCTCAGTATGTTTAGTCAAAGGGTGGAGAGTAAGAGAAAGTATGTGATCCTTAGTCTCAAGAGCGCATAGTGTAGCTGGAAACAGAGCTTTGTAAAATAAAATATGTAAAAGAGGATTTTCACTGCATTTTACAGTAAGTCATCCTCAAGAAGTGTAAACTCCAGATGTGCCAGAGGCTGTCCACAAAGAGCTTACTGCTGTCAGAGGCCTGAGCAGCAGACAGGAAGCTGAGCTTATTTTACTGGTAGATGAGAGAGGGAGGGACAGTCCCTGACCAGAGGCCCAGAGGTGTGGAGTTCTGTGGTGAGTTGCAGATAATGTGTACATTGGGAAGAAGATGAACCTAGGAGTAGAGATCCTGCGAGTGTGTGGCCCTCAGTCTGTGGACACCAGGAAGTCACCTAGGGGCCTGCTGTGATTATAACCGACTCTGTTTACTGTTAGCCTGGATCTGTGTCAATCCTTTCAACCCCATGTGCATTCTCAGATGAGCTGTTCTGGATGACAGGGTGAGCATCGGGTCACAGTGGAAGGAGGGATCAGAGGCATTGTTAGAGTCGGCTATGGTGGATTTGAGAGGTTGGAGAGAAGACAATGCAGATAGAGAACAGGGCAGTGTTGCCAGGACCAAGGGTGTGAGAGATGAATACTTTGCATGGAGACTGCAGGAAGCCACTCTTGTCTGTGAGATTGTGATGAAAGCATTTCTCATGGATCCCTAATTAAATGGTTCTCTGATATACTTTTGCTGAGCGGAGAGCTGACATGAGTTTGAGGTCTGAGTCTCACCATGTGCTGTTGCTGTAATAGGGTGCCGTGCCAGTCAATTACATCCGAGTGTTTATTGAACGCTCCGGCAATCAGCTTTCTCAACAGTAGGGAAGACAACTCTACCTTCTCTTTCTGTCCCCGTATAGTACCATTTCTACTTTCATATCATACATGCACACATATACACACACACATGCATGCATCCACACACATGCATACATCCACACATGCACACATCCACACATATGCACACATCCACACACATGCAC